GAGGAGAATGGAGGAGATTAAAGCTACCTAAAATGTAATTAGGAAGATTTTGCTTTACTCATCATAGTACATATATGCTGAAAAATACAATGAGCACAGGCAGAGTGTAAGTATCAATTATTAGTTCATCGCCCATCACAGTAACAAACCAAAGCTTGATGATGCCTTTCTTTTAAACTGAATATGCACTAGATGATTCCTGTACCACTACATTAAAAAGGAGTCTCTAACTGCTCTTTTCATAACTGCAATTACTTTTGCTCTTAAAAAATGTGTTTGATTTGAAAAACTAATTTTTAAAGACTGACTTTAACAGTGGAATTTATGTATCTCGCAGGACTTGTGAAAGCACCCTGTTCAACTGAACACTGGAAGTTCAAATGCAGTGAACAGTGATCCTGACCTACTGTGAAAGCCACCTTTCAACTGAAAATTGGAAGCTCAAACACTGCAGACATTGATACTGACCTAATGATTTTGTCTTCACATCACTAACATCAATAATCTGCATCAACTCAACTACACAAAGTATTCTTGGGGTCAGATGTATGAATCACAATACCACTGCCTAAGAATTGTTCTGTGCTGGAATTCAAGATTTCATGCACTAACAAAGACCTGAAGGAATATCTTTTGCAGAGGGTGAGTCTCTAAGGACTAGAATTGAATCATACTGGAAGGGTAATGGAATAGAATCCTGTAATAATGTTCACTTAACTATATCAGATGATATTAACTTGAAGATTTCTGTCTTCATGACTGAAAAATCTCATAAATTAAAAGAAATTTTTTTAAACTGATTTTAGAATTTGCACATTCTGATCTATAAATTCATACATACTTGAATTTTATTTTGAAATCTCCTGCTATCCAAAATGAAAGATGAATAATAAGCTAATAATACAGTTAAACTCAATATCTACCTCATGTCTCTGCAGATACAAGTATCAGACAGATTTAAAATATAAAATCAAAATTACTCTGATTGCTTTCTGAAATTATATATGCACTGTTCTAATACATGCAAATAACAGGAGTGCTTTTATTCTAGAGTATCTTTTCAGAAGGTTATAGCCAAAATAATATTTAAAGGTATACCACATCTGAAAGACTAGTACCCTTAGTAATAGCAGACAGTCATTCCTAAGAAGGCAGTAGAAACAAAACAGACAAAAATACATGTGTAAAGGAAGCTATTCCAAGCTCATGTCAACATCACATGTTGCTGATCTTGGACAATATTGTGCCATTGATTTTTAAGTAGAACTTGAAAATTATTTCATTGATGGTTCCTTAACAACAGTTGGCTATTTTATTTCTGCTGACAGGGGATTGAGAAATCAATTCTCTGAGAGACAGGATGAACAGTTAACACTATTCAACTGCAAAAGCCAGGTCACTGCACAAAGGTGAACTTACCAACTGTAGGCAATGTGGGCTTAGGTAGAAGAAAAATTATAATTACCAAGTTATAACACAATGCAAGGCAGTGGGCAATCAAATACAAATCTCAGATTTAAGTGCTGTCGACTGATACACACTGTCAATTTTCTATTTTTCTCCTCTTAAACCTTTTGGAGATTTCAGACTACCAAGTTACCATTGTGGAGGCTTACTGATAAAGAGAATCCTCTAAAGCAGACAATTCATATTTATAAAATAAGATGAAAAACTTCTACAACTCTCAACCAGTTAAAATTCTTAAGAAATTCTCAAGTGTCTTCACTTAAATTGCTCCCAAAAGGATGGGGGAAAGTAAACAATAAAAAAAGAGAGACTAAAATTCTTACATTGTGCCTTAAAAACAAAATCAAAACAATCCACGAATACCAGGTTTTTTTCCCTGTAACCTCCTAGTTTTCCTGAAAGGGAAAATAACTGGGAATACTCAGAGCATAGACAAGAGCTGCTTGTTCCACACCTCTGCTATGGTAAGAACAGACTAATAGCAATGGCTATGTATTATACCAGCAAATAACTTCAAAAGGCAAATCCTGAGAAGTTCTCTCCCAGTCCTGTCCCATCCTCCCTTTTTTTGAAGACAACCTGTTTGGAAAAAAGTATTAATTCCAGTCCATACTGTCTCTTAATGATTTTTTGGCCCTGGAAAGAGGAAGCCTTGAACAGTAGCTGCAAGCCACATTGAAACACTACAGATTGTGCTGGACACAGAACTGTCTCTGTGGCCAACAAGTTACCTGCAGAATGCAATGGATTCGTGAAGTGCAGGATGATCAAAGAGCCAAAATACACTCCTAACATTTGGTTCCTGCTTTAGAGAGGAGGCATAATCTTTAACTGCTTTTTTCACCAATCCCATACGGTTTTCCTCCTAGACCAGTAAGTCACTTACTGCACAGTCAATCCCACAGTATAATATATAGAATGCAACCACAGGCCTTCTCTGCAACACAAAACATTAAAGGAAAAGAGGCAAAGTAAAATCTACAGCAGTGCCTCACAACCCAGTGGTTGAACATCTAAATAAACCCAGTAGTGGTTGGAAATGCCCAAGAATTGCTGTTACAGTCTTACAGTTACACAATTCTATTTGTAGAAGGTGTGTAACTGGACCTAAGGATTGATTTACCAGGAAAAGAAAAGTAACTAGGCAGAGCTTTCAGAGGCCTTTACCACTAAAAAAGTCTATTTTACGAAGGCCTACTGTCTACCTTACAATTCAAGCATACAAGTCACAATAGAAGACAAGCAAGAAGATTCAAGATCAGCAGGACTCAGGCATTATGCCCCACAGCACTTTCCTGAAGAGATTCCCTAGTGACTATAGTTCCTATGTGCAGCCTTTGTCTCAAGGGGAGCATTAATTTGTCCCCCCCCACTCTGTTCAGCCACCCCTTCCCATTACACAAAGGCATTTAATGCCTTTGAAACCTCTATTGTTGTTGACAGTCAATTGAGACTGGTCATGTGTAACATCTGTTACTGAGAACACAACTGGTAGGGCAACACAACTTCAAGAACCTGGTGTGTTCATAAAAAAAAAAGGATTAAAAAACCCCAATGAATGACAAGAAGAGTAAGTTACAAACAAAAGGTGACAAAGACATTTTGACAGGTAAACTATAAATGAAGTAACAGTAAGGAGACTGAAGGCAGAGACAAATGGATGAGAAACTGAAGCTGGGTGAAGACATTAATAATGTAGATTTAAGATTTTTCTTTAATTAATTTAAATTGCATTTCTAGATTTGAGGTTTTTATTTACTGTCTCCCTTAACTTGAGAATCATCTGATATTTTCTGTTTTCAAACATATACCAACTTTCTGTAGTTAAAAAAATGGGTAAGAGCAACTCTGTCATACAACCATAATGGTACCTACCACGCATTAGTTACATGATCACTATTACAAATTTTATTTCAAGCACACTTCAGTTATGACTCTTTGCAATTACAAAAGTGCCAACTTCTTCCTTAGCACAGGAAGAACACAGATTGTTACATGAAATCCTCAGAGTACCCAGAAAGGTACACTCAAAAGCTTGACAAGAAGGTTCCATCATAAGGAACTGAGTAAAGCTGTTTCCAAAGACAGTCACACAAAAAGGTAAGCAAGGAGAGCTCAAGACTGGGGCAGAACAGCATCACAACACTCACTTTCATCATCTCATACCAATGTAAAATTTAGCCTTACGCTGAGCTTTGAATTCGCTATGGACAGGGTTTTTGCTTGCACCTTTCTTTAAGATGAATTAAAAGGTGGAGTCTGTGTGGATGCTATCTGGAACTGTAGGCATAAGCTGCACTGTTCCTCTGAGCATGTGAAACCTTTTGTAAAAGATAAAAATCACTGCCCACATGTACCCAGGGCTGGGTTCACACGTCAGATAAGACCTGAAATGAAGCATACCTGGTTTTCTCTCTCCGGACTTACGTGAAAGCCTTTAAATCACCCAACAATAGCCTTTTTTTCTGGTTCAGACCAATCAGGGAATAAAATACTTATCAAGCTGAATGAAGACTAGTTCTTCAGCAACAGAAATTACCAAAGAAGTGCTTTTTAACACTGCATCATGAGGTTGAACATTTTGGAGGGATGTTCACTTTCACTTTCTATTAATTTCCAAATACTAGGTAGGGTCAACAAATTCCACTGCACTTCAATACTGCTAAATTAACCCACCAGTACCAATATAACAATGTTTTTCTTACTACTTGCTATCAAAAAAGCCAAGAGAGAAAACAGTATTTTTTACTACTTAACTGTTAAGCATAAATAGTCTATTTCTACAATGATAAACTACTGTAATAATTAACTAGAGAATGTGTTTTATATACCACCTCAAGTATTTATAGAAGATTAATGAAATAAAGAAAAATTAATAACTAGACTACTAGCAAAGTGTAGGAGACTCAAAAGTCAAGTGGCAGTAAAATATCAATTTGCAAAAATATACTTGGAAGTTGATAATTATTATACATTTCTAATTTACAAAGAAATATCACTACTACCCTGTGATAATTGAGCTCATTTAAGCAGCTTTCCACAACAACATTCTAAAATTAATTTCAACTAGCAGTTTTTATTTAACATGCACTAAAAGACACAAAGTGCAACCATACCAAGAAAATATATTCCCTTGCTGATTACAGGAATACTAGTATTGACATCATAGTAGAACTCAACAGCAAGAATAATTTGGAAGTGTCTGATGGACTTTGAATTACAACTAAACACTGGTGTAAGTTTGATGAAGTATTGTCAATTCTCACATAAAGCTGTGCCAGCAAGAAAATAACAGTTAAATTTCAGAAGTTACAATTAGTTTAATCTGTGAAGTCTTACACTTTTGCCAATTCAGCAAATCATTCCAGTAATTTTTCAATTCATAATAATAATTACTTTAAAATACATATAAAAATAGTAGTAGTGTTTTGTATTATACATGTAGGATATCAATAACAAAACCCAACAATACAAATATTTCAATTCAATGCTAAGAGTACTTAAAGATTTGCCTTTATAGGTCAAGTACTTACATATTCAGGTTTTAATTTCTTGTCTCCTCCTCTTACAGCTACTTTTTCAAGCTTGTCTATGCTCTGCATGATCAACTCCTCATCTTTAAGTCTAAGTTCCTCATGTATTATTTCAATGTCACGAACAGGATCTACACTTCCTTCAACATGAGTGATATCATCATCTTCAAATGCTCCTAAAACAAAAGAACACATAAGTTACTTATTAAGCTAAAAAGACAAGAAGAAGATATTTAGAACACACTATTACAAGTCACAAGAATTGGAGATTAAAAAGTTAGTAAGTCTGTCATACTGCCCATGTACAAGTGCCACATGCAATGCTTTAGATCATACTGTCTTAGTATGTTAATTTATGTACCAACTCCAAAATCCAAAGCTCGCTCTATATATACAAAGCATAGCACTTTGCCATTTCAGGAGAGCACTTAAGGCATCTTTAAGAGTTTCTTCTGCATAGGAATAGGCTAGAGCAGTTTCCTGAGAATAGGTAACAGTGTTTTTAACAGTATCCAACCTACCAGTAGCAAACACAGTAACTAAATTGAACATCAAAGAGCATTTTAATACATCTAGTAATGACTACAAGAATCATGGAAAGAAAACCTTACAAATCGCCCTGGCACACCTCACTGGCTGACCAATTTTATGTGTTAAGAAAAGAAGAAGTTCTAGATAAAGAATTCTGAAGTTCTGAATGACTCTTAAGTGTTTCCAAGGGAAACGGGGCTTAGAAAAAAAGGTCTGAAATCATCTGGCAGACCTCGTCCCTGTTTCAATCTACTTTATCACTGTGGTTCTGACGGTGATTAGATAATGAACCACTCAGACACACAATTTACACAGCAGCTAATTTCATCGGCCTGATTTGAGGGTATGGTTTTTAGGGGGCCATCAAAGAAGCAGATGAAGGTGCATTTGTCATATATGAGTGACAACCATTCACACTATCTGAACAAAATGGTGCTGGCCCTTATTAGAAACACATGCTATTATCACATATTTAAAGTGCAGTTGAAGCCATAATTTCAAATTGCCAACTGGAAACATAAGGTTAAAACAACCAGATATTACTGAAGCATGTGTGCTGACTTCATGCCCTTCTGATGACAATCTGGCAACATAATTCAACTAGGATTTAAATTATCAGATAAGCAGCATCACACACACACACACAAAAAAATCCACACACACCCCCCAAAATCAATACCTATTTTAAAAATATTAACAGTTAAAATCTATTAATTACTTCTTCCTGGATCAATTTTCAGAGTATTTGCATGCCTAGTCTGTAACATTAAAGATATGCCTGAGAAATTAACCACGGAAGTAATATAATTTTAACATTACCAAAATTAAAATCAACTGATTCTTTACTCAGGAAAAAAACATAAGTCATTTCTTGTACTGGGAAAGATCGGAAACAGGGTAGACAACAAACAATTCCTTAGATTTTATACAGAAAGTTGTGGGGGTTCTTTGTTGTCATGCACATCTTAAACTTCATCTTTTATTTTAACTTACTGAAAACAGTGGTTTTAGCAACAAAGCTTTTACATCAAACCACATGGAACATAGGTTTAAAATGTTGTTGACAGTCAAATGTCAAAATCGTTTTCACATAAACTTAAGAAAAGCTGTTAAAACTGTGGTTACCACAAGTTCCCTCCTCTCTCATTAACTGTTTGTCTCCAAAGATCATCAGTGAGCTCTGATGCTGGCAGTGACAGAACAGGCTGCTGTGTCAAATGGAAACCCACTACACTAACCCATACCAATGACAGACAATTAAGGAAGAGATACTGTAGCCCTGGTCTTCCATAAATACTTACCTGTGCACCTGACTGAACAGGACATGAGTTGTTTAGATGAACAGATACTGTTAGAAAACAGTTTAACAGCTCTGTTCTAATTAAAAAGACAAATACTGAATAAAAAGGGGAAAGTAGGAAGATGTCACCACGCATATCAACAAAAAGTCTACTTGCCCAGCCTTCTCAACAGATGAGTAGTACTTATGCAGCTAAAAATCTATCATCAAGAAAAAGTTTATGTATAAAGAAAAAAGCATCTAAATAATATATTCTCAAGTTGTTTACATCTTCTTTCTGCATTTGGTGTCCAAGGGTTTAAAAAACAACAAAAATCCCCACACTGTTAAAGTCAGGAAAAAAGCTCCGTGAGTACAAAGATCTTGCATTTAGAACACAAAAATAAATAAAGTAAACAGCTTGTTTCGGTCTTAAGATGATGCTTTTCTGAAAAAGCAAGTGTAAGATGAATTAGCAACAACAAAAAACAGCTTATACTTTTCCATTTTCTTCAACAACAGTAAAATACTTCTCCAGCAATTATCTTCATTTCTTCACATCTTGCTGTTCCTTTTCACCAAAATACCCAGTTCTTTACTCATCCAAAAACAATTCAGTGTATTTCCACCCCAATAAAACTGAATCTATGCATTTCATGTGCACTCTCTTCCCAATCCACTAAAGGCTCTAACCCATGGACACTTCAATGTCCTGCCAGCATTTTCTTCAAGTCTCCTCCTCCTGTCACACCTGTGTCAGCAGCCATCCTGCAGCTCATTTATGCCACATCGATGAGAACAGACCCCTGTCTGGCAACAGGCAGTTGCTTGCTTGGGTAAAAAGCTCCTCTACTGAGCTTTTGATTTCCCACTCGAGGTAATAATTCAGCCTTCTCTCCTCCTCACTGGGTTGCCTGACTCTTCTCATGGAAGAAATGAACACTCCTTGAATATTCCAATAAAACTATGGATTTTGAGCTTCAATTTTCAATTCTACACTTAGAGGAAAAATATGTTTTTCTAACTCGAAAAGAAGAAAACCTATCAACAGCTGTGCTGCCAAAGGCCATAAATGTCTCTTGTAAATAGATAGGAAATCCATTAAGTTTATCATAGCAGGTTTTATTTTTTCTTAATCTATCAAGAACGCTTAGATAAGAGCAATTTAAATCTCTTCCCATTTAGACAGACACAGTCCATGAGGAAGTGGTAGGTATAAGATTTTCCATACACAAAAGACCAAACTGGCATTAATGTCCACATCTTGGTACAAACAAGAGATTCTTCTGGATAAGCAACAGGCACTGAGCTTCGTTTGTCAATGTCTACTTCAGTCATCAGTGTAAAACATTGAGATCACCCTCTGACCATGTGGGATGTACCTTGAGCAATCTCTTATGCCAGCCTGAAGCCTGCTTTGCAGTGAAAGTCGGGCACAAACCACATGGAGCACTGTAGGGAATTCAATTCTGGTCTACAGAGCTGCATGCAGACATAGCAAGCTGTTACTGGTGGTAACCTTAGGAATTAGGCTCTGGGCAAGAAATGAGGTCTCTTGGAAAAAGTACAACTGTGAGAAACTGGCAAAGTTAAACCACTAGAATAACATTTTACCCAGTCCCTGGTTTAAAAAACAGTCTATATAAAAATTTAAAGTAGTAGGAAAAAATGGAATCGTAAAACTGATTCAAGAAATAGGACAGATGAGAAAATGAGTATAGTATTTGCAGCTTTCAAAGATGAAAATAAGAACTATAATACTAATCTACAAATCTTATCTGAAATAGATTGTTAACAGTATATTGCTATTATTACTTTGCCTCTCTGCCTTTGCATGAAATTCCTCTGTCAAGCAAGGCCTTTAACTCTCTTTTACTCGGCAAGATGGTATGACAGTCCCACTTTCCCTCCAGCATATACAGCAGCAAACCAGAAAACTCTATTTTAAAATAAAACAAATGGGAGACTAAGAATGACATCACTGTCCAGTTAAAGACAGTGCAATAGCTGTACGATGAACATGATGCACAAGGTAGACACAGGCCATGAACACTAAGTAGTCGTCTAAGCAGTTGACATCTAGCATTATGTAGAAAAGCAGCCTGTTGAAACTAAAAACTGCTGAAATGGAAGAAACAGGGAAGATAGGAGGTAGGTCTTGAGATGCAAGATCACAGCAAACAAATGAGAACTTCAATTTTCTGAAGGAACAGGTAAGATTATGTTGGGTATCAGGCAAAAAAAAGAATACCGGTTAGTTTATAGACATTGAAGAGGGAAAATGAAAACTAAACATTGACAAAGAAATCCTTATATTTGCTTGTCTGATACTGATCTCTGATTACAACAGAATCAATGAGAAAAATAATGGGGAGAAGGAGAAACAGACATCTGGCGGTCTTGTTTTGATCTCAAGCTGATTACAGCTTGAGAGAGCTTATTAGAAAAATCATGGAGCAAAGGTTCCCCAAAATTATCCTAACAGGGCATCCAGGTGGGGAAACAAAGGACTAGAATGGGATAGTTGCAGAAGAACAGAGAGGACAAACATGGTAACCTGCCAGAGGTAAAGTATATTCTGGTGATGAGTTGTGTTTAAATTTGGTGAACCTCAAACACAACATGTCTGTCTTCTTATCAACATAATGAGGGTCCAACTTCTGTAAATAGGAGGGACCTTTCCAAGGTTAGAAACTTGTTCACACACTATCCTCTGTAGCACACTCACACCTGCCAGGCTACTGACTGTTGAGCTCTGTGCTCTAGCTTTCAAAGTTTTCATTTAAAAAAAACAATTTTTTCCAAGTTGTGATAAAAAATTTGTCTTTAAAAGAAGATGCTGTGATATTTTGGAATTTCAACTAACAAACTGTTTTAACTAGCCACTTTATTTATTAAAAAATAAATTTAATATTAACATCTCCAAAACTAACCATACCACTGTGTTTTCAAGGCAGTATGACCTATGGACAATGACCTTCCCCAATTAATATAACGAAAATCCATTGTTCTTCCTGCGTGTTCATAACTGCATTTGATTTTAAAACAGAAGGACTCTGCATTTCTCAAACATTACCCCAAGCCACATTACCTTCCTTTTGACTGCTTCCTAAAGTTATACTGCCTGTGCTCCAAAATAGCCCGCTTTCTGCTACAGGAAACTATGGCATACTAGTGTAAGAGAGAAAAGGAATCAATTTACCACATGGGGAGAGAAAAATACATACATAAAATAGACTTACTCAAGAATCTCCCCAAGGAAGCATCTGTTTGTCAACAACTAAGCTAATCATACAGCAATACAGGAAGGTCAACTGGGAGACCCTAATAAGTAACTTCATTATCTAAAAATCTGATTATAACTTC